GCGACATGTCTGAAAAGCATAAGGCGCCACCTGCGGACAACGGCGCTAGTAGTCTGTAGACCCAAACAACCATAAACATCTGCATTACAGATGAAGTCATGCCACTTTATGCCCAGTATACGACATTGACATTTTGTGTAAAATGCCTTCAGCTTTGTCCAGTCTGTGCAGTATAGTGTCCATGTTTCGCACCCGTACAACAGTATGGAAGGATACAGCTCAAATAAATCCTGAACTTGGTTGTCATACTAAGATGATGTTGATTCCATATCTGTTGTAGACGGCCCATGGCAGATGCTGCGATGCCAATCTGATGGAGAACCTCTGTGTGAGAATTGGAGGAGATAGTAAGTATAGAACCCAGATAGCAAAAGCTGGAAACTGATTCGACGGTTTCATTATTCAAAGAGGTTGGAGTCGCAGGTGGACCTGGTCCTAGATTTTTCAGTTTTGTCTTTGACTATGAAGCATGGAGACCAATCTTAGCTGACTCCTCCTCCATATGCTGGAGTGCCTCATGAAACCTGTCGGGGCTCCGTTCTAAAAGATCATCATCAGCGTAGTCAAGGTCTGTGAGCGAGAGATCACCAATCTCAATGCCTATCGACCTGACGGAATGCTGCACTATGAAATCCATTGGCCGACAAAAGAGTGCAGGGGCCAGAACGCAGCCCTGCCTAACATCAGATACTGATTTAAAAGGCACTGACATCCAGTTCCCCAGACAAACATGGGCAGTGGTTCCATTATGCAGTTCTCTAATCAAGTCCAGCAGAGTAGTAGGGACACCTACACCCTTTAAGGCCTTCCGTAACATGACACGGTCTACTGAATCAAATGCAGCCTTAACATCAACATACGCTATGTGCAGGTGCTTCCTGAACTCATGATTTATCTCTGACAACAAGCGAAGGGCCAAAATGGCATCTAATGTGGAACTGTTCCTCATAAAGCCTGACTGTTGGGGACAACGCTTCCGATGTAGCAAAGGCTCCAGGCATGCCAGCAAAACATGCGCAAATACCTTTCCTGGAACGGAGAGCAAGGTGATTGGCCTGTAGCGCTTACATTCGCTGCACAGTTCCTTGCCCTTATAGAGTGAGATCACAATACCATCCTTCCAGGCAGTTGGCAGGGTTCCAGTTCTCCACACCAGACAAAAGATGGCCAGAAGTGATGCTGCTACAGGATCAATAGCATATTTTAGCAGCTCTGAGGGGATGCCATCAGCACCAGCTGCGCGTCCATTTTTCAGTTTAGAGATGGCATACTTCACTTCATTCAATGTTGGTGCATCAGTACAAATGTCTGGATCCAGAATTGCAGTGACTGCGAGATCATCCAGTTCTGAACAAGTGGCAGCTGGAGGATGGGGTTCAGGGCACTGTGATAATGTTCCACCCAGCGTGAGAGAATGTCATCATCCGATTTACATGGATGGCCTTGGCTAGCATTCAGGATACCATTTGTAGTGACTACCTCTTGACCACTGAGGTTGTGAATGGCGTGGAATACTGGTGGCAACTCGCTCCTGGCTAAGCCAAATTCAACATCATCTGCCACTTGGTTATAATATGCCTTGTGATCGCGGCGTGCCAGGGTGTTAAATTTTCGCTTCAGCTGATTATGAGTGTTTTTATCACCACGCTGGCGCGCTGAGGCCTTCAATTTAATTATCTGGAAGGCCTCCTCCGATAGCCAGGGTCGACGTGCTGGATGCTTATAGTCAATCGTCTGCTCAGTAGATTGGTTGAGGGGAGAAGAAAACAGGGACCAGGCAACCTCCATGTCGTCTGGCAGATTAGCTAGAGCTGAGAATCTGTTGCTGACATCAATACAAAACCTGTTGGCTAAACCTGGCACACGGAGTGCGTAGATGTCAAACTTCATCATCAAAGAGGGCTTACCTGCTCGTTGGAACATCAACACCATACGGGTAACCACTAGATGGTGATCTGTGTTCGCCGCACATCCACATCACAATAAATTCTACAGCAGGCGAAGATACGCCTATCGTGTGTAATGATGTGGTCCAACTCCTTTTGAGTGACACAATCATGAGAGATCCATGACATCTGGTGTAAGCGTCGCCACTTGAACCATGACCCAAGAATGGAAAGATTCTGGGAGGCACAGAATGTAAGCAAGCGGCAAGAGTTATTATTGGGTGTGCCTGAACCATAAAGACCAATGACCTGTTCAAACCCAGATCGCAGGAGGCCAGTCACAGCATTTAGGTCACTCAAGATCACGAGATTATCATGTGGAAGGACTGTGCATACTAGATGTTCCAATTGATCACAGAAATTATCTTTAACTGAGTCAAAAGATTCCTCTGTCGACACATAGACTACTATGACAGTGAAGTAACCATGTCGATGTTTAAGATGTGCAATTAGTAAATGAGGAGACATAGGCATCCAGGTTGTCAAGGAGGACTTGGCTTCATGTCGCAATAGTACTGCTACACCATATAAATGGTTGGGGCTGCCAGAATACAGAAGGAAAGAATCGTCCACCTCATGATGTCTGTGATCCATCAGCCTTGCTTCTGTTAGTCCTGCGATTGATATACCAAGACGGTCCATTTCGGGTGAGACAGCGACCTGATGACCATGCCTGTGAAGAGTTGCAACATTCCAAGTTGCAATTTTGGTGGACTGTTGGAGATCCCAGATACAATTGGATGCATTGTCACAATGTACTCCAGATGTGCCTGTCGACATCAGTGGACGTGCGTCCCCAGGGGGGCTTTGGCATGAACCCATCATGTTTGTACTGAGGGAAGACGGCACCGACAGGGCATCTACAGCTGAAAATAAGGCAGGGGCTTTAACCCTGGTGCTGAGTACTAGGTTATTCATGGTCCCAAAAAAAAAAAAAAAAAAAAAAAAAAAAAAAAAAGCCAACGATTATCCCGGGAAATATCTCGTCCCACTAGGATGAGATGGAGGTGCAGTAACGCAACCCTATTCCTGGTCTACCGGTACTGGCTTCACGCTGTGTGACCTGAGCCATTGAGTCTCTCTCAGTGACTTCCTTTGCCTCGGGTAGCTAGGTGCAGCTGCTGCCCTGCATCTTTGCTGCCTGTGTTAGCCATCATTTTCAGGGTTCACGTTGGATCTGTCCACCTCGCATAATGCCCAATACAATATTTTGGACAAACCTTCATCGCTGATGGCATAGCTCCAATGAGCAATCCCCTACTTCAGATGCCCTGTAATTTTTTTAAGTTTGTGAGTTTAAGTCCTCACATCTCTACTTATAACAAAATGGCTTTTAGTGAGCCCTCCAATTTTCTGTCTCCTTTCTTCCAAACAGCTTTGAACCTTCTACCATAAAATTGGAAACAGTTTCATTATATTTTACTGTGTTTGCTATGTCACATTGCCCATTGCTGTGTGATCACGTAACAAAACATCATACTATAACGCACCCTCATGGGTCAGAGTGAAGGCTGTTGTTGCAACTTAATTCAATTTCCTGATTTATGTGTGATTAACATTCATTTTAAAAATACTTCAATTTCATTTTTTGAGGAATCTGAAAAAATGGAATAAATGAAAAAGGCGATAGAAATGTAGAATCAGAAATGCCAGCATACATCTGCAAAAGATGGAAGAAAAGTGAGAGACAATAGTGGTTGTAATCAAGTATTGTTTTGGTGTTTTACCCTTAATGTTTACTGTTCAATTAGTACTGATCAGGCCCAATTTCTCTTGATTTTATATTTATTTACTAATTTCTGTAAATTCTATTTCCAAGGACTCTAGATGTTTCAATTACAGTGGATTAAAAGACAAGAACAATATAAAAACAGCTAAGAACATAAGAACAGCCATACTGGGTCAGACCAAAGGTCCATCAAGCCCAGTATCCTGTCCTCTGTCAGTGGCCAATGGCAGGTGCCCCAAAGGGAATGAACAGACAGGTTATCATCAAGTGATCCATGCCCTGTCACCCAATCCCAGCTTCTGGCAAATTCCTGCCCATCCTGGCTAATAGCCATTGATGGACCTATCTTTCATGAATCTATCTAGCTCCCTTTTGAACCCCGTTATTGTATTGGCCTTCACAACACCCTCTGGCAAGGAGTTCCAGAGGTTGACAGTGTGTTGCGTGAAAAAATACTTATGTTAAACATATGCTGAACAAAATAAGTAAGCCTTGAATTATTTCCTGAAGGTCAATGGACTCTGACCTTAATACGTTTCTAAAGAAAGTGAATTACAAATGCAGGGACCCACAGCTCAGTAAGTTCTGCCACTGGTTATGGAGTACTCAAATGTAAGTACACCTCTACCTCGATATAACGCTGTCCTTGGGAGCCAAAAAATCTTACCGCGTTATAGGTGAAACTGCGTTATATCGAACTTGCTTTGATCTGTCGGAGTGCGCAGCCCCGCTCCCCCGAAGCACTGCTTTACCGCGTTATATCCAAATTCGTATTACATCGGGTCGCGTTATATCGGGGTAGAGGTGTATCAAAAGCAAATGCCTTGTAGCCAACCCATCTAATGATCATAAAGAGGACACAAGGTGCATACAAGTGCTTTAAAGATAATCATTAAGAGATTGAAGAAGGTCACAGTTCATAGATGTTGATTAGTGAATTTTATTTGTATATGTCAAAGGCTCATGAAAACCTTAGTTTTCCCATCTATAAAATGGAGATAATTCTTACCCTACCTTACAGGGATGTTGCAAGTGTTCAGTCTGTAAAGCCCTTTGACATTATATAAGTGCTAAATATTATTAATGAAATCAATGAGAGCAGTTATTTTAATGACCCTAGTGCAGGTGGCATTCTCATCCATTCAAATACAAAACTGACTACAGGATCTTCCCCATTCCTCATTTATTTATCTCTATTTCTAAGAAACCAAAATCACTACTAGTTGGGGGAACTTCCACATAGACAGTATAAGTATGTCCCCTAAAAATACTGATATTATCCATGGGAAGAAAGAGCTAATGGTTTTATATTTGTAATAATTTACCTGTGGAGCAAGCAGAGGCAGCCTAATGTAAGCCAACAGCTTACTAAGTTCTTTCCTTCTCTGTTCCAAATCATGTCGAACCCAAGTAAGCAGTGCATTCAGTATAGTTTCTTCATTAGGAATATTCATATCATCACTTGCCAAAAGCTTTGCAATTTCAGCGGCTGGCAATAATAAAAACTCCTGGTTTCTAATTACTTCCATGAAATTCTCCTGAAAAAGAAAAAAGTATTTTCAATATGAACACTGAAGACCTTTGGATAGGCCACTATTGTCATCCGCTGCTGAAAGTTGTAGAAACACCATGTACTGAGATGCAGATTTTGCTGAGTAGAGTACAGCATACTCCAGTAATGGGCATGTTTGTAATGGTCTTCAATATAGTTGGATTGGTTTGTGTCAAATATAATTTCCAATGAATAAATGAACAGAAAAACAGTTCTAACTTTAACTTTCAGTGGGTTATTTTAAATTGTTTTTATTGTTTTGTAAGTCAAATACAGCTTAATAAGGTATATAGATAGTGGAATGAAGATATAAAAGATTCACAGTACTGCACCAGGCTACAAATTTATTTATTTTTAATCAACAATTACTTTTTTGATAGGTTTCAATTCTCCACATCTTCCCTTCTGTCGTTTCTAGTAGCCTGTCCTCATTTCAGGGTAAGAAGAAACACAATATAAAATGTTTCCAACCATAAATGCACATTATTTAAAAATACCAGGATTTTTAGAAGGTTTTGTGGAAGCTTTATTAAACTCAAGTGCAAGTGGTAAAAAAACCACAAAAAACTAGAAGAGCAATAAGAAGCTTATAACAAATATATTTTGCCAAAATTGAATGCTTTTTTAATAGTACTGACAAGAGCAAGATCACAGTTCCTCCATGCTCCTTTGCAGGGGAACAAGAAGAAGGCATAAGGTGGAAAGAGTCTTTGATTCATAATAATACATCTACACCGCAGTGGAAGACCCGTGGCACAGCTGTGGCTAGTCCAGGTCAGCTGACTTGAACTTGCAGGGATTTGGCTGGGGGCTTTAAAATTGCAGTGTAGATGTTTGCGCTTGGGCTCGGGCTGGAGCCAAGGCAAGCTCAAATGTCTACACTGCAATTTTATAGTCGCACAGCCCAAGCCAGCTGACACGGGCTCTGAGACTCGATGCCGCAGGTTTTTTATTGAAGTGTAGATGTACCCAATGTGGTCTGCTCCTGGAACAGCACATCTATATGTTTCCTTTTACTCAGAGTTTGTAGTATCTCCATGATCAAGTCCAAAATTAGCAGACATAATGTAGCTGAATTTTAGAAAAACATTTGATTTAATCTCTAAAGTAATCTTACTCTCAAAATTAATTGAAATCGGTTTGGCTATCCAAACACATGTAGACTGAAAACTGGCTGAAATATTTTTTTTTTTAAAGGTAAAAATAAAAGCCAAAATATCCGCAGGAGTGGGTGTGTTCGATAAGGGGACTGTGCAGGGATTAGTGTTAAGACCAACCCTATTTAATATCTTCATTAATGATCTAAAAGCAGTAAACTGCATGTTAGTGAAATTCACAGAAAATCCTAAATTGGAAAGACCTTCATCTTGGAAAAATGCAAGTTAGTATCTCAGAGGAAAAATAATTCAATAACTCAAAACACAGATTTAATAACAGAGAAAAATCTGGGAGCCGTAGAAAGAAATACTGTTGAAAATGGCATTGCAAATCAGATATGAATTTGCAATACAAAATGGCAATAACAATGTCCATTACAGTTTTGGATTGCATAAGCACTGGGCATATCATCACAGAGGAGGGAGATGACTTTTTTTTTTAAATATGGCTCTGGAAATACATTGAGTATTGCATTCAATTCTGTGCATCTCATTACCAGAAAGATATTGACAAAATAAGGGAACTCAGAGAAGAGGAACAAAACCTGCAAAGGCTGGATGAATTGACTTATAAGGAAAGATTAAACGAGTTGAATATGTATTAGTGTGACTAAAAGATATAAAAGAGGACAAGGCACACGATTGTCTACAAATATCTAGTTACATTTTTAAACAAGCGTCTTCATGCTTTCTCCCTCGTTGCCTCTCACATTTGGGAGGTGCTCCCCATAAATGTCCATAAAGCTGCCTCATTATCCATGTTCAAAACCCTCCTCTCTGCCATGATGCCTACAAAAAACTTGACAACAATTGGGATGCTGGCAAGTGGAGATCACTTCCTATCATGTTGACCAATATTGTCTAATTGTTTCCTTGTACTCCCCTGTTTGTCTGTATCCATCTGTTGTCTCTTATCTTACACTAACGGTATGTCTACACCACAGTGGCATAGCTAAGGCACACCTTTCTGGTTGCTACATATGCGCTGAATCTGCTTCTCCATCCCGCTCCAAGCCTCTGTTTCTGAGTTCTTCTCCTCATAAATAGTTAGTATTGATCTCTGCTGTTGCTCATGAATTACTCAAGCAGCAGCAAGCTGAACTTGATCCAATTCTTGTAATATTTTTGCATTGTCCATGTGCTTCTGAAGACCAGTAATAAAAACTGATGTTGACTGTTCACTTTTCACTCTGCTTTAAAGCTTGAAAAAGCTCTGAGCAGCAGCTGCAGCAGAGATTCTGGAGCTCTTTTCTTGCACACTTGGACAGCACTGGTTTATAATCACTTCATGTTCAGGTGGTTTTCCTTGCAACTTAAAAGGCTAGCAACTTAAACCAAAAATTAACACAAAAATTAAAGCTTGGATGTGGCAGAAGTTGCCTGGGAAAATTTCCTATTCACCATAGGCAAGTGGATTTTTCAAGCCCTGAAAGTAGTACAAGCCATTTTCCTCTTCTCTGAAAACACTCATTTCCCTTTGGTTCGCATTTTTTGAAAGGGAAAAAAAGCTAAATATTTCATTGAATAACTACTGCACACTATCAACTGTTCTCAAATGAGCTAGAAGAGAATAAAAATTGATTTTTTCCTTGATAGACTGAGGATAATTAGAGGCCACATAGGCCACTGGATAGGTCACAAGACTGAAAGTCTGGAGTTCTGGATTCTCTTCCTAGCTTTGCCATTCAGTAGCTACAAGACCCTTGCCTTAACTTTTCTATCACCATTTTACAGATGGGAAATTAAGGTACAATTACACTCACTCTCTTTTATAAAGCACTTCAGGACCTACAGATGAAGACACTATACAAGTACTAAGTATTGTTACTACAAAGCAATCACCACACAATGAACGATTTTCTTAAGTTAAAAAAATAATGTTGATCTTAGAATAATTAATGACATTCATCAACTCTTACAAATTTTGCATCAATTATATTTTAGTTCCCTCCCTGTCCTCAAAATAGAGGAATTATACTGTGCTCATCTTGGGACACGATGGCATAGCATCTTGATGTTACTTGAGATATCAAGTTAATGGAGATTATGTGATTCTGATCTCCTGGATAAACTAAAGAAATCACAGCAGTCACCCTTGTTGGAAATGTAGGATGTCCCCAGACCTGATATAACAGGAAGATGTTGGAAGTAAAACACTATGTTAGATGCTGCATTGGAAAAAGAACAATCAAAGGTGCAAAAACTCTGTACTTTATGCCCTGATACAGAGATACTTAAATTAATCTTTTGGCTAGTCTAGCAACATTTTTAAATTTGTAGTCATGTGGCCCATTACTTTTTATAAATTATATTTATATAATAGGATAACTGTATGTGTAAAAGATTAATTTGGTGCATTTGCAAACACAATCCTGGTACTTGCATTTTACATGCCTACATTATCAGAATCAGGCCCACAATGCCTGTTTATATGCTATTATGTCCACCACTATTCACTTTAGACTGTTGCAGTATTTCACTTACTATGTCCTGAGGATTTTTCAGGCACTGTCAAATTTTGAAGTCTAAAAAACTGATCTAGTTTGACAATAACCTTGAAGAGTTTTCTTATTCTTTGTCACAATGAGTAAATAGTCTATCAATTGAGTGACAACATAGTTAATAATAAGTAATGAAACTCTCCTGTTCTTTTAGCAAAATAGCAACATACATACTTTTAATTTGAAGTGGTCCAGCATTCAAATCATTCCTACTTATATTTATACTTCAAATACACTGCACTGACTGAAACCATGCCAACGCTTTCAAGTGACACTAGTGGATGTTGTTCAGATAGAGAAAGTCCATTAGTGGAGCTGGACCCACTGAGATTATTCACTGATGGATCTTTTATTTTGAGAAAATGCCCATTTCATGTGAACTGCTGGTCTCAAAGTACAGCAATGGTTTAAATTAGGTGCTTATCAAAATACTCATTGTTTCACTCATAGCTTTTCAATATGACAGCATTAAAACTGAGTAGCTGTTTTAACTGCAGTGAAATTGTCTGCATGGTGAACTGCTCTTTCCATCAGACTAGAAAAGAAAAAGCAGCAGCAAAAGAAAGAAAATGAATATATTGAAATTAAAATATAAATATTTTATACTATTAATTTACCTCAAATTTCAAGTGCCTTTAAGAAAAGCAAAACAGCGTGGCAAAACCAACAGAAATTTCTCCAGTCAGAGTCATTTCAGTGTAACCCATGATCATTTGTGGCATATGAATAATTTATGGCTTTTAACAAACAACAGAATTTACAGAACTATAGGTATGTTTAACCCTGATGCTTTAATATTTTTAATGGAATGAGCATCAAGTGACTAGTATTTATTAGTGTTAAACATTTTTATTCTTTCAAATTGCTTTTAAACAAATGAAATTATTTTGGGATTTATTTTAATTGAAGATTCAATTGGACTATACATTTCTATTCAGTTTCCATAGCAACATTAGTTTCAAACCAAAGGAACTGTTTCAGTATTACTCATTATTACTAAAATTCAATTTCATGTCTCCATTGGAACTAAACAACATTAAAAAGGCCTTAGGAAGAATCCATCTAGCACAACTAATTAGTTTGAAAATGGCTTTTTAAAATCCAGCTAATTTAAATTTGATTCATGGCAAAGCTTTAGAATCAGTAATTGTGCCACTGAAGTAAACAACGGCCTAAAGGTACGCAACTATTTTCCTAGGAATTGAACAACTTCTTACTAAAGGAAATATGTTGAGTCAGTAATAAACTAACTTTTGAGAAGTGAGACAACAACCAACAGTTGCTGTCAAAATAATAAGACCAGATGGAGGTACACCTTCTAAAGGCTAATATTTTAAATTGCATCAAATAATATTTTGTTAACCTTCTGATTCTAGCACTCCACTACTAAATGTTAGAAGAACGTGACTAGACAGTACCACAACTAGGACAATTATTTATTTAGAAAAAAACTGTTTGGGCAAGGAGGAAATAAGGAGTCTATTTCTGTGTGATTTTTTTTCCATCATAATGTACGATTTCTCAGTCTCTCACAATTAAGCATACTATTTCTCATAATCATACATATCTGTTTTACTCTGTTCTTCCTGCCTCATCTGATTGTTTTATTGATGCTGTCTTCAATCCATACTTGACCAATAATGAAACCTTTTCTTATTATATACCGTGATTTGCACACTATTCATTCACGTGTTTTAATAAACATTAGTATGTATGCATTATTAAATGCATCAATGATCCACCCACCTGAGAGGGAACTGAATCACACACAACAAGAATGCCAGGGTATTTGATTCTAATCTCTCATAGTAAACTTGAAGCGACAAGGTGAGTGAGGTAAACCATTTCTGTTGGTGAAAGAGACAAGCTTTTGAGCTACACAGAGCTCTTCTTCAGGTCTCTGTGTGTACCTCAAAAGTTTGTCTCTACTATCCTGGGACCAACATGGATACAACAACACTGCAAACAGTAGTAAGCTTGGACATTAAGTCAGAGGAAAAATAATAAAAAATAAAACAACCAAACAACGGGTTCCATTCAGCAAAAATTCAGAAGGTAAAAGGAGAATCGATGGATTTCTGATTCAATTACCCCAATTCCAATTAAGAAACACAAATTATACATTTCAGATAACGTGGGGATACCACACAGGGGATCAAAGGCTTTAATACTAAGTTTACTGATGTGGTATCCAGATGCCTAAGTTCAGTTCCCAAGAGCCTAGACCAGCAGAGGCCATGTCATGGGAGGGGGAGAGAAGTACCTCACGTAACTCTAGGAACTCCCATGAGCAAAGAGCAGCAGTGCTAACTGGCCACAGACAGATATGCCTCTTAGGTCCTTACCCTTCTCTGATAGTAGAGTTACCATAAAATGATACCTTTGAGGGAGGTAAGGAGAAAAATTAACAAAAGATGTTGGTGAGGGAATGAAATTTAAGAATGTCAGAGAATCAGACTTGCTCCAAATAAATCCCCAAACCCTCACTTAATTGCTGGCTATACTTTTGCATTTGGCTACTCATGATTCTACCTAAGAACATATGTTCCTTGTTCCTATGTTGCTATATAGAAGGTGGCTGAGTACATTTCCCAGACCAGAACAAGGGCTCTGTGTAAGCTCGAAAGCTTGTCTCTCTCACCAACAGAAGTTGGGCCAATAAAAGATACTACCTCACCCACGCTGTTTCTCTAAATAGTCACAGGCATTTTTGAAGATTTTACCCATTACCTTTTTTCTGACTAAATGGAACACTACCAAGATAGAAAGCAGTACTTAACGTCACAGTATATAAATAGCTCTGATAATAACAATGGCTCTTAGGGGGTGGGGGCGGGATAGCAACATTTACCTCAGGAAGGCAGATACTCTATATTTTCCTTGCTACAGAAAAATCAATAAATGGATGATGCTACAAATAAGGACATACCATGGTGAAATTGTGAGCCACTTTGTGCAAGTCAGTGCAACCCTGTGCATCAGCAAAAGAGCGGATTCCAAGGCAGTTGGATGGGTGAAGTTGTTTCATTAAGAACTTACAGCACGCTTCCACAACCTGAGAGAGCTGGAGAAGGCAAGCTGTAGATAACAGGCACTCAATATTATCTTCTTTTAATTCAAGGCGACCTAACAATATTAAAAGAAGCGTGCTCATTATTTATGAAAGAATATTGACTGTAATTCCAACAAGAGATTTTTCTGAACACACAAAAAAAAGGTTTTTTGACAGACTAAGTAAGAGAGAGAGAGAGAGAGAAAAATGTGGCTGAAATGGTAGTTCTGTTTCCTCTGCTTTTATCTTTCGTCAACCTCCTCCTAAAAAATCATAAACATAGAATTATTTTCAGAACATGCTACAGAACTAAGACAATAACCTTCCTACAAAACAGCCCAAAAATTAAAAATTAGTAGCTTGCATAATATAGTGCAAAAGAATTATGAAAAAAAATTCTCCTTTCGCCAATCAGGATGCATCTGAAATATTTTGACATTTGTCAACTAACTAGACATCAACTAACAACTAACTACATCCCACTGAGTTGCTCTAGATAATGGCAGTAATAGTAGTTTTAATAAATAAGCAGTTGAATTGTATGGTGCAGCATTTCTACCAAATATCTGAAATCTAATAATGGAATACGATGTTCACTTAGGGACAGAACATCAGAGAAACATTACCACCCTTTTCTTCATTCTTCTTACCTGTATATGCATATTGAACCAAAGCCCACAGTGCATTTGGCTCTACACCTTCCATCTTGATTTCTTCCTGTCTTGCTTCTCTTACATCATTAGTAAACATGGCTGCAAAGTAGTCCGAAACAGAGGAGAGAACTAATCTGAGAACATATTGGAGAAAGGGGAGAGAGAGGCAAAAAAAGACCTTAGTGAAGCTGATGTTGGTTAATAAATGCTTCATTATTTTGCCCTTTGAAGGTGCATTGTACTGAGGAAAGCATTTTAAACTTGACAAACTGCTTCATGCCCCAGTTCCTTCCTATGAATAATGAAGTACTGTTACTGAAAGTACATTTTCTGCTGATGTAAATGATTTACCCTTTTAGTGCTCAATGACTTTTTATAATCGCCATATAAAAATAATACATAAAGAAGCAAATACATAGCATTAGATACTGTATGAAAAATACCTGGAAAAAACAATCAATTATTAATTTTAAAATGGTAAAGGAATTACTTCTTAGTAATTTTAAAAAATACTTTAAAATATTTTATTTATGTTCCTCATAGGCTAATTGATACAAACATCAATGACAGAACCTGCCTACTGAGTAGAACTGGAGATCATACAAATCAGAAAATTCCACATGTGAGTATAGTAAGTCAGTCACAGGAATATGGTAATAGTAGAGTTACCTTTTTTGTGCAAGCACTTAACACATTACTTTTGTCAACTGTTTGGGATGAGTGCATGTCTAGGTTAATGCTCAACGAAGTTATTTGCATTAGAGAGAGAGCAAAACACTTAATACATATTATAATAGTAATACATTTTCAAGAATTAAGGTAGCTGAAGATATGATTAAATAGAGTGGAAAAGCAAGGGGAATGCTTGATAGTATTTCTTACAGATATTTGGATTAACTGGATGCATTTTACAGATGAACTACATAAAATTGTGTCTTAGTTTATCAATTGCAAAGTTATAGATTGCTGACGGTGTTGCAGCCATTACTTTTCATTAAATTGTGTCTGCATATCTTCCATCTGTTATCCATTGCATCATCTTTGTCCAGGGCTGCATCAGGTAAATGCTTTTTGCCAGCCTTTTGGAGGCAATGGAGATGGGTGAGAATGTGTAGAACTTGAATTAAACACAATTTGACCATGAGGAAAATGGTTTAAAAGCATTTTAAACATTTCAAAGGACATTATAACAGTATTCTGTAATCCCTGTAATACAAAATTCCTTTTATGGCCCATTCTTGATAAACTAGGTTATTCAGTCCCAGAGGATAATTAGAATGATTTGTTAGGATAGCTATCCATGTGGCAGTTCTGGGTGTTTTAGTTTTTCATTTAAATAAAATCTCAGTTTCAAATACTGCCTCTCAGAATAGGGTTCTGTACAGCATGACTGTGGTATGAGATAAATTCATCTTGTCATTGAGGGAGATTTGTCAGATTGATTTGATATTCTCCTGTTTAGTCAGAAGCCTTAGATTGTCCTGGGACCACGTAGTCATGGTTAAGTTTAGAAAGTGAAAGGTTCTTTGGCTGGACTAGATTTGAATGAGTTAATAAAACAAATTTTAAAATAACTTGTAATTCATTATATTCTTCCATTAAAATTCAGAACCAGACATGTAAACTAAATATCTCACGTTAAAAATATTTAACATTGACAATATTGTAATAATATTTAGGGCTCTAACGGGAAAATAGTGTTTGCTGCAACAGTAGCCTAAGCTAAGACCCAGTCTACACACAGATCACTGGTCTAACTATTTCAGTAAGGGGTGTGATTTTTTCAATGTGGTTATATCTGTATAAGTCCTAGAGTAGAGACAATTATACTACTGAAAAGATGCCTTATGACTACAGTTTATTCCCCTTCTGTCCAAGCTACACTGGTATAAGCACATTTAAGCTAGTATAACTTCAGCCACTCTAGGGGTAGTTATACCACTTAAACTATACAATATAATTAAATTGGTACAACTCTTGTGTAAACACTGCCTTAGATCTTTAGTTCTGTACACTCAAAATGTAAACCGGCATAGCTATGTTGGCCAGAGGTGTGAAAAAACCACACACCTGACTAACATAACTATACCGACAAAAACCCCAGTATAAATGCAGCTATACTAACCAAAGAGTTCCTCTGTCGGCATAGCTAATGTCATTCTGGGAGGTGGTGCTCATACACTGGCAGAAAAACTCCTTCTGATGGGATAAGCTGCATCTAAGACAGGGGGCTATGCTCACATCGACTCTATAGCATAGGCATAGCCTTAAGTCTTCCTTTTGTGTTCTTATTCCTGGAACTCTATCCGTGACACTCAGCTCCACTTCCCCCTCCACCTTTCTCACTACATGCCCTGCCCATGTATGTAGCCCTGGTAGAGGGTTTCCTGCTACCAAGGAGGACTTGCCTAACTTGATGGGAGCATCCCATTTCTACAAGGTTCAGCCATGGAGCATTCAGGCTGTGAGGTGGAGCGACTCCAGGTTTGGGTGCCAGAGGCGGCTTCAATCCTGTGTGATCAGGTCCGGGAGCAGGGGCAATGCGATGGGCGCCTGTACGGACATCTGCAGCAGTGACGTGAACCAATGCTGGCTCGGCCACGCCGGCGTGTGGCGAACAGGTCTATCTGGGGAGAGCCCCAGAGATGGAAGATTGAATGTATCACATCCCGGTGGAGAGACCACTCGTGACCGTGAAACAATCGACTAAGGGTGTCCGCTAGGCCGTTCTTCACCCCCGGAAGGTAAGACGCCATCAGGTGAATTGCATGCTCTACGCAAAAGTCCCAGACTGTTTGTTGATATAGAACATTGCCGAGGTATTGTCCGTGAGAACTGCGACACACCTGCCTGCCAAGCAGGATTTGAAAGTCTGGCAGGCAAGATGCACCGCCCGCAGCTCCCTGACGTTGATGTGCAAGGTGAGGTGCTCCGAGGACCAAAGGCCCTGGGTCCTGAGATCCCCCAGGTGCGCCTCCCACCCCAGGTCCAACGCATCGGTTACCAAGGATAGGGGGGGCTGAGGGCTGGCGAAGGGCACTCCTGCACAAACCTCCCGCGGGTCGAGCCACCACCGGAGGGAGTCTAGCACCGCACAGGGCAGCGTCACCACAGAGTCCAGCGCATCCCTGGTTGGTCGGTACATGGTCGCCAACCAGGACTGGAGAGGGCGCAGTTTGAGCATGGCGTGACTCACCACATAGGTGCTCACAGCCATGTGCCCCAGCAACTTCAGGCAGTTTCTTGCTGTAGTGGTCGGAAAACGCCTGAGACCGAGAATGATGTCGGACATGGACCGGAACCTGGACTCTGGGAGGTATGCTCTGGCTTGAGTCGAGTCCAGGACTGCCCTTATGAACTCTATCTGCTGGACAGGGTAGACTTGGCCTCGTTTAGCCGGAGGCTGAGCTTGAGGAAGGTCTATCTGATGAAGACCACCTGAGCCTCCACCTGTACCTTGGAGCAGCCCTTGATGAGTCAGTCGTCGAGGTAGGGAAACACCTGAATTTGGTGCTTGCGCAGGAAGGCCGCCACAACTGCCATGCACTTTGTGAAGACTCTCGGGGCCATCGACAGACCAAACGGTAGGACTGCAAACTGAAGATGGGTGTTGCCCACCACAAATCTGAGGTAAAGTCTGTGTTGAGGTATTATTGTGATATGGAAGACGGGACGAGAAGGTAAGGTTGGTAGGATACAAGGTCCTGACTGGTAGGTCGTCTTTGACCACACCATCAAATTTGGGGTCTAGGCCCCGACGGAGGCCTTGGTTGGCCCGAAGACTGTCCAGCAGACGGATATTGCCTCCTCCTGCCACTCCTACTCCTACTGCGCGGGGCCTGTGGGCGGTTCTGGGGCTGATACGGCCGCGGGGCTGGCTGCGGCCTAAATTGTCTATGCTGAGTGGCCAGACTGTGCAGGCCCATGGAGCGTAAAGTAGCCCTTGAGTCCTTTAGGCTACGGAGCCACTTGTCCGTTTTCTCAGAAAATAACGTGGGTCCCTCAAAGGGAAGGTCCTGGATGGTCTGCTGGACCTCATGGCGAAGGCCGGAAACCTAAAGCCAGGACCTCGCCGCATCACCACTCCGGTGGCCAGTGTGCGGGAGGTTGCATCTGCTGCGTCCAGGGCTGCTTGGAGGGATGCTCGTGAGATCAGCTTCCCCTCCTCCACCAGAGCGGAGAATTCTGTCCGCGATTCCTGGGGTCACTCTTCAGCATAAACTTCCCGCAGACCACACAGAGTTTAAACCCTGGGGACCCAGGCATGTCCCAGGAGGGGACAAGGGTTGAGTTTAGGGGAAACCCCCCCAACAGCTGACTAACTTACAACTAACACTAACTATAAAACTATGAGAATCAGAACTATATACACGAACTGAGACACTGCTAGGCTTGCTGCAAGAGCGCAGCAAAGTTCCAGCCAGCCATCACCTGCGGTAAGAAGGAACTGAGGGGGTGGAGGGTCAGCAGGCTCCTATATTGGACGCCATGGAGGCGCCACTCCAGGGGGCACCCAGACCGACCCTACGGACGTTGCTAAGGGAGAATCGTCCGGCTGGTCTTACAGTTGTGCAAACCATAACACTGAATTAATTTGGAAGACACAAGGGAACATCCAATACACATTTAAATGTTAAATTCAATTTTTTCTTTGTGAACAGTAAAAAATACTACAGTCCTTGAAATATTTTCAAAATTGATTCTGGGTAGGGATTTTATTGTTTTTGTTTGCCAAATCTTTGAGTGTATAGTCACAGGTGGGAACTAACATTGTACCCATTAGAATTACTTTTGATCATGTATCACAGGGAATAGACAGAAGTTAATTTTTAGTTTCCAAAGTTTATTTGGTCAAAACCTCCTCTTTCTTGAATCTTTTATTTTAAAGCAAAATAGTTAACCCTCACACCACAGATGCACAAACATAAGTAAGCCAATGTAATTTATTTTAGAATCAGAATCTTTTAGATATTTACCTGTGAGCTGGAATTCTGCGATCACCAGCAACTAATACCACATCACATAGTTGTTTGTGTCTCAGGTAGTTTTCCATCTTTTTAAAGGTTTGTTCAGCATGGTTGAGCGCCTGAAAAAATTCATCTGCTGTACAAGGCTCCATAGTTTGGCAAGATGACAGAGTCTGACTGCTGTTGGAAGTCCTGAAGGACATAATAACAAAATCTTAGTTTGGCTAATATTTTAATACAGCAATTCTGTTCATAGCTGAAACAATGAAAGTCATGCTTGCATTTTAGAAGTGATATATATTACTCAGGTTAACACTTTGTCTCTTGCAATTACTTTTATTCGCATCTTCCCTCCTCCACACACATGTGTGTGGTCCAAAGTCCATTGAAGAGTGGAAAGATGATCTAATGCAGTATTTCTCAATCTTTTGTATTGGTGACTCTTTTCACAGAGCAAGCCTCTGAGTGCAACCCCTCTTATAAATTAAAACCACATTTTTCCAGTTTGAGAACCCCTGATCTAGTGGTTAGGGAGTTAGCCCGGAACTCAGAAGACCAGAGTTCCATTACTTGCTTTACCACAGACTCCCTATGTAGGTTTAGGCAAGACACTGAGGCCTGGTCTATACTTAAAATCCACACCCCTGACCAATGCAGCTGATTTAGCTACATCTACGCTGGAGGTTAAACTGATGGAAGAATGTTTCCACCAATCTAGCTACCATCATTTGGGGAAGTCGTGTTCCTATATAGACAGAAAAATCCCTTTCATCCGTGTGGACTACATCCACACTACCGGGTTATGCTGGCATAGCTATGGCAACATGTCTACATTGCAGCTGGGAGTATGTCTCAGCATGGGGAGACAGACGTGCTAACTCCGCTCAAGCTAGTATGCTAAAAATAGCAGTGTGGATGTTGCAGCATAGCCTAGCCACACAAGTTTGGGTCCAATGGGTAGACTTGTACTTGGGCAGCTAGCCTTTGCCGCCACCCATGCTGCAATCTCCACACTGTTATTTTTAACATACTAGCTCGAGCAAGCTAGTGTGCATCTGTCTACCTAGGCTGGGAAGCATGCTCCCAGCTGCAGTATACACATACCATTAGTCTCTTTGAGTCTTGGTTCCCCATCTGTAAAATGGGTATAACGACATTTCCATTTTCTTACAGGTTGTTGTAAGGCTCTTGGATACTATTGTAATGGAGGCCATATCAGTACTTTTGAGAGATAAATGTCTTAAAGTGCCCTTTCTATACAACTCCTTTGAGAATAAATTTAGAAAAATAAATATTTACATACACATAGTTATGACACGTATGCAGTGGAAATATTTTTATTGTCACATATCTTGGAACATGAGTCGGTGAAAATACAGTTCAGTTAATAACACTTTCCCTTTTTACTCTTTCAAACTTAAGTCGATGTAAATTACGTCACTCAGAGGGGTTTTTTTTTTACACCCCTAAGCAACGTAATTTATGTCAACTTAAGTGGTAGCATAGACAAGGCCTAGGACTCCAATCCAGCATAGAATTTAAGCACATGCTTTATTTTAATCATGAGTAGTTCTTTGGAAGTCAACTCATTATTTGGGTCTTAAAGCATTTAACACTGAGGATCACAGAACACAGTCTGAGTGCCACTAGTTTAAGGGATTTTGTTACTCCAAGCAAGATTTTTGATTAAGTATTTTTGCCTGGGAAAGTGGTTCATTGTTCGGTAGCAAAACAATTAATCTTGGTGGCACTGAAGTAATCATAATTAGGCTTCAATATTAACAGCCTATTAAAAAGTGGGAGGGTGGAATACACACCTATCCTTTTGCTGTTTCAAGCTGCACTGCTGCAGCTCAACAAGGACACAGAGCAGCAGTTTATAATGTGAAAGCTATCTCTGAAAGCAGAAGAAATGTCAATTTTTTCTAAATTCTGGAGGAGGTGGGAGCACAGTGTCAGGGAACATGTAAACTGTGGATTTTTATACTCTCAGATAGTAACAAAGCAAACAAAAAAATGTAATTACTACATAAGAATTCTAGTAAGCACTAGCCCTGCCTACCATAATTAAGGTTACAAATCCATCATTCTTTATAAGCAGCTGGTTTCAAACATTCCATTTTCAAAAATATTCACCTTTTATGGCTTGTCTACACTTGATTCACTACATCAGTGTAACTGCAGCAGCACTTCAGTGTAGACACTACCTACACCGATGGGAGGGGTTCTCCCATCGGCATAGGTAATTCCACTCCCCCATGAGGCAGTAGGTAGATCGATGGAAGAATTTTTCCATCAACCTAGCACTGTCTACACTGGAGATTAGATCGTCTTTACTATGCCACTCAGGGATGTGAATTTTTCATACCTTTGGGCGAAGTAGCTTTTTAGTGCAGACCATGCCTTAGACTGAGCTTCTCAATGCTTTGGCTTTGCCAATAAAATAAAATTTTTAAGTCTGAGCAAACTTCATTATGGTAGAGTGAAAAAACAAAAACATATTTTATCCTTTTCCCATTATAAAAAGTTCTAAATATCCTTTTTGGAACTAGTATATAGGACCAACATCTGAGATTTTAAACTTAGCGTGGACATTGTTCCTCTTGAGGATTAGTGGCTTGAAAAACAATTATTCAATAAATATCATTTTTTAAAAGTTGCCTACCAATACTACCATTAGTCCAGTTGGTTTAAACTAAGGCTTTGTCTTCACTGCCAAGAAAAAGTTGCATTTTTACCATGGCATAACAAACATGCATTAGTTATCCTGCTGTAAAATTCTAGTGGATAAGTCACTGTAGTTTTACTGTGAGGTAAACTAGGTGAGGTCAACCACAGGCAGGATTATAAAGGCTGATCTCACCTAGTCCCCTTGCAGTAAAGGCTACCTGCAGTGCCTAGTCTTTACTAGGATTTTACAGTTCGAATAGCTAATGTGATACAGTTACCTGCTATAACCCAAAAAATCCCACACACACTATACCATTTTTGCTGTGAAACCAAGCAGTGGTTAGGGTGATCAGACAGCAAGTGTGAAAAATCGGGACAGGGGGTGGGGCGTAATAGGCTTCTATATAAGAAAAAGCCTCAAATATCGGGACTGTCCCTATAAAATCAGGACATCTGTCACCCTAGCAGTGGTAAAAATACAGGAAGCTGCTGAAGTCTTTTCTAGACTAGGGTTCACAATGGTGCTACCAATGGGAACTTTTTTGCAAAAATCTTTAGTGCATAATAGGTCAAATACATTGTTCATGTATTTTGGTCAGTAGATGGAGGCAAGAAATGTAACTCACCACTGGAACTTTAAGACGTCAGCTTTTTCTGAATTATTAGTGTATGTAAACTGACAAATATTCATATGATACTTCACAAAAATGGAATAAGATGTTCCTTCCCAGAACAGCTTACAATAAAAAATCAGCAAGACATCAATTCAAGTAACAGAGAGTGTGGAAAGTTTTTTGAAAAGGAGAATGAGGTAGGAAGGATTCTTGGGATATGAAGGAGAAGGCATTTGGCAAACAGGAAGTAGGAGATTTTTTCAGATTTAGAGCTCAGCATGAATGCAGGCATGAAGCCATACTGGAATTGTTAGTGAGAACTAGGAGAAACATAGGGAGTAAAAGACCGGGGGGGGGGGGGGAGAGAAGGGGAAATTAGGAGGAAATGAGAATAGAGGTGGTTATAGGAGAGAGTAAGGGAAGAGAGAGTATATACACCCTTGAACTTGAGGACTAAGGCCTTGTCTACACTACAGAAATGTATTGTGTTAATGGCCAGATCACAGATCTTGCATCTACATACAAAAATGCTCCTAATAGTATACATCTGTGCTAAACATTTTTCAGATGAGACTTGCTTTGATCATGGCTAACCACTTTCAGTCTAACATGGTAAGAAATAAGAAGCCAGGGAAGGGATTCAAATATTGAAGGGAGGTGGTATGGACAGAGCAAAAGGAGATGACATTAATTGTATGTTTTGGAGAGAAGAGAGACAGGAAGGCTAAAAAGCATAATTTTACAGTACCCAAGTTGAAAAATTATAAAGGCATGGGCAAGAGTTTTAAAGAGGGGAATGCCAAAAAAAAGAATAAATTTTAGTGGTTCCAGAAGAAGCAGCAAATACCCTTTAGTGGGAAACACGATATTTGGGAAGAGGGGGCATGATAGCAGGGGAAAAGAAGAAAAGAGTGAAAGAAGACACTGAGTTTGAGAGAGTTAGCGACCAGGATTTAATGGTGATAGACAGGGATTAGAAGGAACGAAAAAAGATCTTTAGTTCTGTAAAGACTGAGATGACACTGACATCTAGATCTCAGAAACGCACAAGACAATTGTGAAAAGCATTACAAAACAAAACAAATTCCCTCAACATCTGTCAGCAGAGTAAGACACAAGGTACATGAGGAACAGACCCCTGTTGAGTAAAAAGGTCTTTTAAAAAAGCAACCCACACCTTTTACAATAGAACAATGCTAAAATGAATTTTCTGACCCAGGTGGGGAAAAAAATACAGATTTTTTTTTTTTTTTTAGCCCTTGTATGTATGTGAGGCCTCTCTAGAGACAAACAGGACATTAACACTTTCTATAACTGCCTTAGTTACTGAGAATTGTCTTATTTATAGGTATGCTGACAATTTCGGTTTTACAAGGGAAAATTTGTTTCATATTATCAGTGTGTCTATTCTGATTTTGGTTTACTTTCTAGGACGGGGCATACAACCAGTACATACTCCTCTATAAGCCCCTCAGTTAGTATTAAGTGTCTTCGTATCATCCTAATACAAACAAACCCACAACTGAGAAATCAACAAACAACCATTATTTCAGGGTGGATCTACTTTGCGCAAAGCGCTGTACAAACACATAGGACATGCTCCCTGTTCCAAAGAATTTACAATCTAAAAAGACAACAGAGTGAGGGGTGGGGAGGAAGGATACAATATACTAGTAAACTGATCAGTGATGTCTGACACAGATCTGGTTAGTTCTATGGTATTGTTTTTGTTTTAATTTGTATTTATTTAATCATTAAATAACGTATCCCTAACAATCTTCCAGAGATATCTAGGTGAAATGAACTTTCTCTATGCTTAACCTACACCAGAGTGGCTAGGTGTCCGGTTTTTGACCGGAAAGTCCGGTCAAAAAGGGGACCTGACAATGTCTGGTCAGATCTACTGACCAGACACCAAAAGTCTGGTTAATGTGGGCGGGGAGGCACCGGGTCATTACCCGTGCCATCCCCTACTCAGCCGGGGCCGCCTCCTACCTGCATTGGGTGACTGCCTCTCTGTGCCCCAGCTCTGCAGGCAAGTCCCTCCCAACCCGAGCAGAGGGGGAGAGAAAGGGGGGAAGAGAGGGAAAAAGCAGCGAGCAATGGGGAGTGGAGGGGGATGAAGAGCAAACGGGGGGCGGGGCCTCAGGGGAAGAGGTGGGCCTTGGGAGGGAAAAGGCAGGGCAGGAGAAGTTCCGGCACTCCCGCTGGAGTGTCCAAGTTTTTAAATATTACGAAGTTGGCAACCCTAAGGTACACCCTACAGTATTTAAGAGCTAATACACAGCAGCACTACAGGAGGTGTAAGAGAGGATCAATAGCCAAAAAGGATCTCATGTATAGGCCCCAATATACATGTCAAGATTTTAAACTTTCATAACACCAGAAACAGAATGTAAATCCCCTTCTTCCCTCTGCTTTGGCCCACATATTCCCATATGGCATGGTGGGAGGAGACATGCAGAATACAAGACTATTTCCTCTATCATGCTGTGCTTCCAGGGCCTGCAACATGGCACTCAGCTAGAGAGGAGTGCAGACGCAAGAACTTTCCACACACGCAACATTTCTCTCCTACAGATCTCTGCAGATCAATGGGCTTGGAATCTCATTCTCCTTTATGACAGAGGAGGGTGGGTGGTGTGTGTATGCACGTGCGCGCCTGTCCATCCAAGTCTTCCCTCTTTTACAGAAGAATTCAATGAAAGAAACTGAGTTAAAATGGATTTTCCACTCCCAGATGTGGCTTATTTCCACTGAAGGGAACATGGGGCCCTTATATTAGGAAGGAAGTCCGAGTGCAACAAAGTATTTTTGTGCTACCCAAAAGAACATAGTAAATGTGAAATTGTATTTTAGAAGAATATACACAGAAAAATGATTGTATGGTTATTAAATCTCTTTACATTAATGATTACAAGCAGGAGGGAGCTTCCAACTGCTCAGTCAGTCAGACTGTGTCAACTGATGTGCCACATTGTTTGGTATTTTTAGATTATTCCAGTTTGGGGTTCTTGCATACCTATTATAAAGGGTGTGTAGCAGGAATGGTTTAGTATACACCTTATCTTGATGATGCAAGTGTACACAAACTAATGATTAAATGAAGCAACTTCTTAACCATTAGCATTAACTAGGCATGACAGTTCATACTGAACCCATAATTTACCCAAAATTCTCTCATTTAATGAAAATAAAGTAATGGCAAGAGTTAAAGCACAATACAAAGAATACACACACCAGGCAAATAATTTTACATGATTCAGATTACGAGTGTAAACATACAAGAAAACAAGGATGCAGTTACTTTGTTAAAGGATACAAAAGCCAGACAAGATTTGTACTTCAATTGTGTTTCTAGTACTACATAACCCTTGCCACTTGCAAAAACAAAACAAAAAACAGAACTCAACCACCATAAGTAAAATTAAAATACTATTATACACAGATTCCCCCTATACTTTAAACAGATAATTGTAATACTCCACTTTTATTAACTAGTTTTATTGGTCATACTTCAGTTCCTTTCCTGTACTTGACCATTTCTGCAAATCAAAATGTCTCTTTAATTTTAAAGACTGCATATTGATCTCTTTGAATGAAACATGTTTTTTTATACCAATAGTTTTCACTTTGGGAATATCCTCTTTTGTTTGTGTAGTGCTGTACATAAAAAACTGCACTCAATGAGTAGATGTTTCTGAAAATATTAAAAAGACTATCTTTGCAGATTGACTGGTGATGTATTCATGTCATCTGTAGTAACTGTTCATATAATTGTTTACAAAAACACATACTGAAAATCACCTCATATAGAAGATTCTTAGGTACTTTCTCTGAAACTCATTTTGTTGATAGCTAAATATACTTATTATAAGCAAGACTAAATTGCTTTTTATAAAGTCTCATTATGCAGTTTTTCATTCCCTGATAATTCTGATAAATGTTTTCAACTCAGTGACAAAAGCAAATGCTATGTTGACTCCTAAACAGAGAGAATTTTTGTTTTGTTAAGGATATAAACCATAAATTGTGCAGTGTTTGCTCTTGTCTGTTTGCCTTTGCACCAACTAAATTTTTCTATATACGGGTACACTCTCCAAAGGGAACGCAACACATTGATCTATCTCTAATAGGCTTATTAATAAAACTCTGCCCCCTTTAAATAAAGATAATCACACTTCTTTAGAATATCAAGTCACTGCAAAATAATTTTAAAAGCTAGAAAGCAAACCACATGAAAATTAATTTGAGATGACAAGTTAGCTATTGTAGCATTTCTAATATTTACAACAACAAAAAAGGGCACAGCAAGACACGTTACTCTGTATAGTATAGTTGAGCTAAGTAATAAAGGATGTAATGAAAATAAACTGACATTTTGGAAAAAACCCAGAAAAAAAAGAGAAATTAAATTACGTATTACTTATTTTCCACCAGTTAACATACACCTTTTGATAAAAACAATAGTAATATCATATATTATTTATTTTTAGCACCAGAAACAAGATGTAAAACAGAAACAAAACTATTACCATAATTTTATGGACATAATTAGGTTTACAATTTAAGACACTTGATTAGCACAGCCACAATCAATTTAAGGCACTTTTCATGTTTGCTGCACAAGCTGGTTGGCAATATATCACTTTCAATGGATGAAGTAAAAAATTTTTTTCTTTAAGCTGTACTCACATTCGGCTGCATAATCAACATATGAATATGGACATTAAAATACAGATTTATATGCCCAGATTTACAACTGCAGAACACTGCAAAAATGCACATACCTGAGAAAATTATAACTGAGATTCATAGCTAAAATAAATAAAATTTATTTTTCCATTTGAATCTTTTATTCTCAAAAATACTTAAAGATTTCAGAGCTATAGAAATCTTACCTCTACATTATTTCTTTCTAATTTAGTGTAAAACTAATTCTTAACACAGCTAAGCACAGAACAAATGTTACTCTAAAGTAATTCAAAAAAAGCCTTGTAAAGCTATTGTGTGCATATTATTTTCAGTAGCTGTAAAGATTAATTTTGCTATAGGTTAGCTATATTAAAGTTAAATTTTAATTTGGTCATAGCAAATATATTCAATTATATGCTCTGCCAGTTATCAGTATTTTTATGCTTTTGATGCAATGCAACTATCAGAAAATTCTGAAGCATTTTAATCTAGGATAAATTATAGCTGACATTTGTAGGCATGAAACATAAAATGACATTCAAGACATAAAATGACAACTAATTTCCCAAAATAGGAAAATAACAATTAACCTGCATGAACTGCTGTCCGATTCATTTTCTTCTTCACTCGCTCCATCATCTGCTTCTGGTCTGTCAAGCCAACGTGCATCTCCACAGTTTTCTGTTGTGAACTCAAATGTAGGGACTTCAGAGGTGGATGCCATTGGCCAAGGAGGTGAATTCTGGAAATCCTGTTGGCTAGACCTTCTGTAACCAATTGATGCCAGAGGTAATGGTAGGTTACCTGGATCTAAAAACTTTGTCCCACCAGTTGTTGCATTTTGTCCTCTGTTCCAGAAGTCTCCCTGGTGGCTGTCCACTGCAGAATTAGGGATTGATGACTGGTGACCAAACCATCTCCATCTGATTTTTAAAATCTGCCTCACGTCAAACTCTTTACGAGAGCCAGACATCCTCAATGAAAGCAAGTGATCGTCTAGGCAACAGGGCACGAAGCAATGCACATAAAAGATTTGTGCATCCAACCAAGACTAGAGAAACACATGCTCTTCCTGCATATGGCAAGCAAATTTTGGGAGGGACTGCATTCACATACATAAAAGCGCTTTTTTAAATCATATGTCATCTGAATATAAACAAATGGCAAGAGATGATGAAAAATGCTGGGATGAAAATACAAGGTGAAACAGTCACCTCAATCAAGAAAAATGCTAATCAGGTCATACTGAAGCAGCCAATGCACTTTCTATTGCTTTCCTCCACATCCTCTGACCATTAGCTTTCACAAACACTAACAGCATTCATTAAAGCCCTTTCAAATGCTGAATACCACCCCCTTTTCTTAAACCACAAATGACAGAGAACGTAATTCCTATGCTGCATCTCAGAATCTCTACTGCTCTACTGTGTTAACTCTTGCTACTACAAATAGGAAAAAAATCAGTGATTCTAAAAAGCAAATGAAACACTTTCTTGCACTGTTAAGAAATCACTTATAAAAAAGGCTAAAATATTCCAATATACTGATTCTATTTCAGGAAAATCTGAACTGGAAAGGATTCCTTATTTCTTTCCAGTTACAAGACATGCATCAAATTGTTTTTCAAACAGACTAGATGGCTCAGGGGACATGTAAAGGGTTACAGAGCCTTTCATCTTGACATACTGGTTTGAATCAAATCTGGGTCTGTAGTGACTGAAAGTTACTACTGATGGTTGCTTAGTAGCCTAGGAGAAATGCGCTAATGGTCTCAGTCTATTTACACATCATGAAAACCATAATCTCAACTGCAACTAATTGATCATCATCAAGGAGTCAGAGGCACCACAGACTCAAGGGGCATCAAGACCACACTATCTTCTCACCTCTAGAACTGGCCCCTACAGGTAAAACTTAAAGTGCACTGATCAGATAGAGTGGAAAAATAAAACTGCCTTTGCAGAAAGGAGTTCAGTCTCTAGTGCTATTTAGATATATATTTTATAAGCAGTAATTTAACTTTTAAAATACATTAAAATCCCATGTCAGAATTCTCTATTTGTATTTGGAAAAGAGAAGGTCAAACAACAGGGATATTTTAAATCACAATTTGCTATAGGAGTTCCTGTATTTACTCCTGAGGGAATTCTGCGCCAAAAAATTAAAAATTCTGCAAACAGTATTTTAAAATTCTGCAAATTTTATTGATCAATAAATAAATGTGGAGGATCCAGCATGACAGTGGGGAGCACAGGCCACTGACTGCACAGATGTGGGAGATCACCCTGCAGCCCTCACCCCAGGACATGGACTCGGTGGTGAGGCTGCACCCGACCCTGACACAATGCAAGGGCCAGACCTGCCCCAGAAACACCCTGGGGCTCTGCCCCTCTGTGTCAAGCACACTAGATGTAGACAGGCAGGCTCAGCCCAGCAGGATCCAAGTGTGGAGGGGCTTAGAGTGGGGAGATCCAGGTGTGGGGTGATAAGGATTCTGTGTGGGGCAATCTGGCTGCAGGCAGCTGGGTGGTCCGGGTACAAGGGGGATCTGGATGAACAGGGGCTCGTTGGGGGAGGGGTTCTGAGTGGAGAGGCAATGGGACTCTGCGGGGGGGGGGGGGGGGGGGGGGGGGCCGCGGGGGGGGGGGGGGTCTGGGTGCGGGTGGAGAGGCTTGGTGGGGCAATCTGGGTATGAGGTGGGTCCAGATGCACGGGCATTGGGCAGATAGAGGAGCAGCTCCCCATACAGTGACCCCTCCCCCCCACAGCTGAGGAGCAATGGAGGCAGGAAGGAGGGGGCGTGCGGCGCTTCCTGCAGCTAGAGAGGTTTCTGGGGGTGGGTCTGACCCAGTCCTGACCGCTCCTTGCAGGGGAAGAGGAAGTCCCATCCCTGCCGGGAATAGCAGCTAAGCCTGGCACAGGGTAGAAGCCACTGGCTGGTGCATCCCCAGCTCCCCCCCACTGATTTACCTCTCCGCTGGCTGCTCTGGAGGCCTGAAACAATGCACCTGAGCTGCTGGGGAGCAGTGTATGACCAGTTTTGCAGTTTCCCTTTGCTTCCCCCATCAGAAAGTGATTTTTCTGCAGGGAAGCGAAGAAATCTTTGGGAGACATGAATTCTGCGCACGCACAGTGGCACAGTATTCCCCCAGGAGTATTACTACGTAAGATTGGAGGTTGGTTGAAATCTAGCTAGCAGACTCTCAATCCAGACAAAAAGGAGATGGTGCTGGCGGCTGGGGAGAAGCAATTAGAAGGTGCAGCAAGGATTTTATCAGAACTATGATTAAAGACAGTGAGGCTGTGCTACACTACAAACTTTGGTTGATGTAAATTACATCAGCGTACAACTGCTGCAGTTAGCATATTGCTCGTCCACATGCATACTTGGCTGCTTGCATTGGCACTGTGTGTACTCAGCAGTGATTATGTCTATGTAGATTGCAGTGCACCACAGGTAGCTATTCCATTGTGCCACTCACCACTGGCCAGGTCACTGCCTTTTGGGAAATTTTCACAATGTGTTGTGGGGTAGAAACGAGTCACGCAAAGGTGCCTGGGAGCAAGGAGTCAAGTTCCCATCATGCAACTTTCTCCATCCCATAATGCTATCCATACCCCATAATTTTCACACCGCAGATGGTGGAGCACCATGTCCAGGCCCAAGAAATGAGCACTAACTGGTGAGAGTTACAAGTAGTGGGTGCTTTGACTAGCAGCATAAGTTGTGAGGTAATAAAACTAAATTTATTTAAAAAAATAAAAATTTATTGCCTGGCAATAAACAACATGCAGTTAAAAAAAACCAATACAATACAAACTACCAAAATAAATTAATGGAACAGAACTTGAAAATTAGAAAGGTAGAAAACAACCCTGCCCATTTATGCTACACATAAATTGATCTGTGAGCTCTACAGTTGGCGTATGTGAACTTTGGTTGGAGTTGCTATTCCTCGGAGTAGAGTGGTAGGGGTAGGGATGTGACCCACGATGCCACGTGGAATGTTGGGGTATGTAGAGAGCTGCTAAATTGGAGTTCTCCAGTGACTGCAATGGGTGGGCAAGCCATGACTGCTGGATCTGTACGTCAACAAGCACCTGCAGCATTTGTGACTGTCTGAGAAGCCCTATTATGTCCTGGTGCATCTCCCTCTCCTTCTCCTGTCTGCTCTTTCCTCCTACATAGTGTCTGCAATATTCACCCTCCAGGCCTTCTGTTCATAGTCTTATGCAGCACTGGCTTGCAGATCTTGCTGAACATACCCTCTCTAGTCCTCTTCTTTCTCCTCATCAGGGTCAGATGTTCCACAGGTGTAGAGGGGGTACCCTCAAGGCTCAAATGCCAGTAGTTACAGATGAAAGACAGATGTAAACACTGTATTTACAGTTACAACAGAAAGGAAGAGGTAAGTTTCAAAACTCCCTTCCCTTATTCCCATAATCACTTTTAATAAGACATCCTTATTGTCACTTGAGCTTTAGAACACCTCTGCATAGCACCACCCTCCAGCTCCAGCCATCGTGAGCATAGCCTGCTGGGGCAGGGAGGAAGGAGGAGAGAAATTTTTGGTTGCAATAAATGATAACATTTTGGCCCCTATGTCCAAGGATATGAGTATAAGGCAATGGCACTGAACACTGGCAATATTTTCAACAGGCAGTGGTGACTGTAGCTGATACTCCTGAGGGTAACAAAGGCAGAGAGCACAGCTGTTGCTAGTGCCCTGAAGATACTCTGGCTTGAGTGCCACTAGTCTGTTTACTGCAATGGTGCCTGCTGAAATCGTTGTGGAATTGTGTGGGAAAGTGTCCTACCAAGAAGGAAAAAATAAGTTTACCATCCCTAGAAACCTTCAGGAGAGGATCACTGAATATCTCTGAAAGTTTCATCAAGATCTCTCAGGAGAATACAAGGGCCATCTCTATATACATAAACAAACTGCTCCACATGGCCCCCCTTCCTAACCCTACAGAGGAATGAAAATCAGATAGCTCTGCCTTTTGCTGTACTGCTTGTACTGCCTGGGGCAGCCCTCACTGAAAATACCAAGGGCAGGGCAGACTGCGAAAGGGAGAGCAGATAACCACCAGTTTTGGGAGTAACACTGAAGTTAAACTCACCAACCAGTCATAGACTATACTTCTGATCTCCCACACTGATTATCAAGTAGTTAAAAAAAAAAAAAAGAAATCACACAGACCCTTTATTGCATTCCAGTTCTTTGGCTCCCAGTTAGCACATAGGTCCAGTAAGTGAGAAGTTATTTAAAACTCTGGTCACAAACAAAATGTTCTTCTGACCCCAAAAGGTCAGCGAAGTTACCAGATCAATATTAATTTGGATCTTACCCAAAATATCATGCTGCCAGCCAATCCTTTAGCACCTAAAACTAAATGTTTATTTTAAAGAAAAAAGAAAGAACAAGAAGAGAGTTGTTAAATGGTAAAGCCATCAAATACATACAGAGACTTCAAAGTCCATATATCAGGTTCTTAGTAGTATTGGTGAGTTTGCTGGCATGAAAGTTCCTCTGGAAAATTCCCACAGCTTGGATGAGTCATTCAGTCCTTTATTCAGAGCTTCAGTTTGTAGAAAAGTTATTCCATAGGTAAGAAGCAGGACTGAAAACAAAATGGAGATGATGCAGCTGCCTTTTATATTCTTTTGTCATGTGATTTGTACTTCCTGTGTCCCAAACATAAACTTTACAGCACATAGCATGGAAAGCCTTAGAGTTCTGTCCATAAGCATACCACATGCCTTGCTGACTCATAAAGTGTATCCCCTAGTTCCTTTCAGTGGGTTCATTGTACAGTTGATGACCCTTGATGGGCCATTGAACAGGTTAGGCAGTGCTGGTGCCAATCTGTTTGGGGGTGTCATCCAGATTCACAGCACAAGTTTGAAATAGAGATATTCCCTACAAATCTATAAATCATACTACAAATGTGATACAAAACATATAAACAAGATTATTGTACTGG